GCAGCCCCCGCAGCCAAGAGCCAGGGGCTCTGTCTGCGTGGAGCCCGGAACCAGGGGCTCCGTCTGGGTGGCCGTCTCTGAGGTGCCAGAGGGGGGGGGGCCACAATGCCCGAGGAGACCCTCGGGGTGCGGTGCGTGCCCATCCATGTCATGCCTCTGGTAGGCTGGCTACGGCTGGGGCGCTCTGGCAGGGTCCGGGGCCCTCCCGTGCGAACTCCGCACTAACTCACGCACCGGCAGAGAAGCGTGACTGTTTGCGCAGCCTGTTTGCGAGGCTCCCTGGGGGGCTGGGCGAAGTAGGGGCCTGGGCGGGGCTTGACCTGGCCCGGCTCCACTCAGCCACCTCCTCCCACTCACTAAGGGGTTAGTCCCCTCTCTCCACGGGCCCCGCTTACCCCGGCTGTGCTGGGGGTCGGCGGGGGGCTCCGCGGCTGCTGGAGGGTTTTGGGGGGCTTCGGGGGAGCGGGCGCGCAGCAAGCTTTCACCCGCGCATCTCTCGCCGCTTCCGAGCCTAACTGGAGAACTAACTGGAGAACTAACTGGAGAACTAACTGGAGAACTAACTGGAGAACTAACTGGAGAACTAGTTCTTAAAACTACACAAACAACCCTCTCATATAACTGTCAGACACAATGACTCAAAACACTAAGGATACCCTAACTTGCTACAGGGGGGAGAGATCAGGAGGATGGAGGGCACAATCCACATCCTACCGCTGCCGTGAAAACAGAGTAATTGTTAAAATTACACTTAAGAAATGCAAAGAAAGGGACCATCTCTACCTCCCCTCCCCCCGCTACAGTCCATAAGGAATCTGACTAGGGTAAAGTTACTTTTTGATCTCAAGTGCGGGAATCAGTGAGGCCTTAAGCAGAGGAGCAAGATGTTCTAACCAGAAACCTCCGTGGAGCAGGGGTTGGTTTTGTTTTGCTTTGCTTTTTATATAGCCAGCAGAAGCATCAGCACATGCTAGTCAAAAATCCCCAGCAGTAGCTGCAGCCACCCCTAGAGGTGTACCGATACATCAGTCCAATATCAGATCGGCACCGATATAAAGAAAAATGTCCGTATCAGAAACCGGCCATATCAGGCTGATAAGAACAGCCCATGCACGCACACAGCCGCAGAGCAGGCAGCGAGGAGCACAGCCCAGCAGCTTGGAGAGCTGCATGCAGCTGCTAAATCTGGTGTGGTGGAAGAGGAGGGGGGAAGGGGATTTAGGCCCCTGTGGATAGAGGAGTGGGGGTGGGGCAAGGGCTTCCCAGCCGGGGTGAAGTGGGCGCAAGACATGGCTGTGGCTCATCCATGCCGGGGGGGGGCGGCGCCCACTGTTCATCTAAGAACCACTGGCAGTATTTGCCTGCATGTCTGGTGGCTCCCGCCACCACTCATCTGGGATGGGAGGGCATGTACCCCAATATCTGCGCGGGGCAAGGCAGACTGGGCTGGGAAGGGTCCCACACAGCCCGAGCCCGCAGCTGCAGCCAGCCTGGCACACCACACCCCACCCCACCCCGTGCAGGTCCAGGAACACATGCCCCCTCCCCCATGCCCTCCTGGCCAAGCAGAGGTAGCAGCGGCGGGGAGCCACTGGATGAGCAGGCGAGTGGCAGACAAGCCGCGGGCCAAGCGGTGGGAGCTGCCCCCACCATATGAGCCAGGGCTTCATACCTTGCCTGCCCCACTCCAGCTGGGCAGCGCTTGCCCCAGGCCCACTCTTCCCTCACCACAGGCATCTTGATCTGTCCCCACCCCACACCCCTTCCCCCACACCAGACTTGCCAGCAACACACACCTCTCCAAGCTGCCAGGCTGGCATCGGCCAATATACCTCCTTAAAAAATCAACTATTAGTATCTGCCCCAAAAATCTCTATTAGCGCACCCCTAGCTACCACCCAATGCTTCTGTACCAACTCACGCAGTATACCCTCAGAATTGATGTTCCAAACTTATGAGCTGTCTCACCAAGTCATTGTAACGCCAAATCACACCATTATTTTCTTCACAGGCTATGACCTCCACTTTATAGTGTTTGCTGCCCATACTCCTTGCTTTTATATACATGCAACTGAATTATTTTCCATTTCGACCTACTTGTCTCCCTTTTGGGCTCCTTTCTGTTCTCCTATGGTTCTGTTCAATTTATATCTTAACAGCAGCATTGGTGCTGTTGTTTGAAGACACGAATTGTCATAGCTGTCCACCTTACTACTGGAAGTTGAACATGGTTAGTGCTTTCTCCAGCTATATTTCAAATGGAGTATCTCAATTTTCCCAGAATGGCTTCTATCTCTACATATACACACTTTAAACTACAGTGGAAACTTGCTTTAACAAGAAAAACACAGTGCCATTAAAAGGTCACATTTAAATAGTAGAGCTATTAGTGTCAGAAATTTCTAAACCTAGTAATTACAAAAATATTTATCTTGTACATTCAGTAAAAGGAAGGCTAGCACTATTAAATAAGGAACCTGATGGCTAATGAAGATTCCAATTCTGTCCTGGTGAGGTCCTGTTTGTCAGTTTGCTTCCTTGAAGTAGGTAGCTTATAAATGGCTGAAAGTGTGGAAATAATTTAAAATTGAAAGAGCTTCCCCCCACACCCTCTAAGGAGAAGGGGTTGGATATGGGGCAGCAAAGAGAAATAGTACTTTCAACATTCAGAAAGCAACCAGAAAAAAGGAAACTGAACAAGAAGCATTCTTACTCTTAGTGAAACAAGAGTGGAACATCAATCAAGAAGATAATAGCTATCTATCCGTTTTGATCAATTGGGCAACTAGCTTTTGGGAGGCAGAGGGCATAGTTCCCCTTTCTTATGGTAAACAACTTGTTTCCACATTGGAATGGCAAAAACAAAAGAGGTAAGAGTTACAAGCATGGCACAAAGATAAACTCAGAATTTGGTTGTTCCAGGTGCCCCTTAGGTTATTTCCAGTCTATGTCTCAAACAATTCCCAGTCACCTTTTTGCAGATGTTTTAATAAATGGAAAATAAGAACAACATGGGGAAATATTCCCCTATATTAAAAGCAAACTCCAATCGTAATAATTGGAATGTTTATACTTTACACTAGGGTGTATTAAGTCAATGAAGTCAGCCAGGCTTACTTCAATCATTGGCTACTCAAGTAGCATTTTTCTAATATTTTTTTGCCCTCTACTCGAAAAGTTTTCACATGGACATTTATGCTATTACATATCTCGAGGTAAAAGGTCCCTTTTTAAAGCTTTTATCCTTGCTTTTAAATTTCAGAACTATGTTTCTAGGGTTTTAACACTGGAAATTGTTGATTAATACTTACGCTTTCAGCTCAGCAAATCTCACTAGGATACGAGCATAGCTCTTATTTTGACTATATTTTTCTGCAGGTAGTGCAGCAACCGCTTGACTGTAACGACCAATTAATCTATTCAATAAGCCCACATCAGCCTGTGGGATGCCCTTCTTTTCCAACTTAAGCAAGAAACTCAGCCAGTCTTCGGGATGGGGGAGAAAAGAAAACAAGATACTTTAGAGTCAGATATATGACAATATGGCATTTGCAACAGATATAAACCATTTGCACATATTGACAAATGTGTAAGATTAGTTTAAAATATAAAACTAGTTTAGGATACAGCTTCTGAAGAAGCGACTCTGGGTAGCATTAACAAACAAAGCTGAAATTTGACATTTGTCTTCAGCATGCCTTTCAGTCTTTAGTCTAAAGAACTGTAAGAACTTGAGCTTTTTACGTAAGAGCTCTCTCCAATTAATTGCTGCAGCATGAACAGCAAAATGACAACAGAAAGACAAAGTTACATACCTGTTGAATCAACTGACACTTTGGTGAAATTGAATTCATCAGTGACATTGTCTTCGTTTTTGTATTTACTTTTCAGGTCTCTGACTCTGTTCATGATTGAGGCGATTGTCGGTCCCCCTTCACTTAAATCCTCTTCCTCCATCTGTAGACACAAAAATAAAAGGCAATATTACTACTGCAAAGCTCTACTGCCCTCAAAAGTTTAACTGGAGGCTACTTAGGAAAGCTTTACATCTTTCCTCCTAATATTAGTTTTGCAAGTGAGTTATATATCCATATCTACTTCAGTTCAGCCCATCAAGAGAGGCTGCCAATACTGCTATACTGTGAGCACCTTAGTGGAATGCAACTCCTATGAGCAGAGTTCTTTCACCAGTGTTAGCTAAGCCACCTGTAGAAAAAGTCAACCTCCACTCCTTTGTTCTGTAGATGCCACCCTAGATACTTATTATTTAAATACTTGTTTTGATTTTTATAATGCTTTTAAAATTAATAGCTATTTTTATTGCATCAACAGTATCTATAAATAGTCATTTGGTACTATTTCCTAAACAGTTGACATATTTTAATACTCTCCGACTATGCTCCGGTTATTGGATCAGTATCAGGCAACATGCCTAATGAATAATTGGCTATCTGAGTCAGTGAAGAAAATCTCTATCAGTGCACCCCTAATATTATGCAATGTGTAGCAGGGGCCCAAGTTGCATAAACTCTGTTAATTCCTTGTTGGTTTATGGCAGTGGCCTCCAACCTTTTTATGGTAAAGATCAATTTCTGAAAGTTAAGGGCACCCCAGGATCTATCGTGCTCTCTGCCCCCCCCCAAAGTGAGACATGTCCCATCGCTGGGCGGGCAAGGGGGAGAGGCTCAGCCAAAATAGTGTAGAAATAACAGTATAACACTAGGTGGCAGGGGAAATGGGTAGGGCCGCAGAGAATCTGGGCTGTGGGCTCTGGGTGGCTGCAGCAAAGGAGGAAGGGCATGCACGCAGCTATGATCGCAAACCAGATCCCACACCAGATCCCACGTGCACCCAAGGGGCCACTCAACCCTTCTGCACCCCTGGTTGTCCCAATGGTGTGGGGGTAGGGGGGCTCCCGCCACTGGGCACAGCCCAGTGGAGGCCCCAGGGGCCCCTACCACTCCCCCAACCCTGTGCTCGGGGTACAGCAGGCAGTGCACAGCACCAATTGCCTCCAACCTGAGCATGGAGAGGTGGCACAGGTCTCCCCCCCACCCTTCCACTGGGCTGTGCCCCGCGGCAGGGGGCGCGGCAGGAGCGCCCCCCCCCCCCAACCCACCATGCTCCTGAATGAGCAGATCTTCCCATACTGAGTCTGCTGCTACACTGAGCTGCACCAGCCCAGCAGCTGGATGCGCGCACACCCAACTATTCGCAGCCCAGGATCAACCTAAAGATGCTCTGGGATCAACCAATTGATCATGAGCCCCAGGTTGCTGACCACTGGTTTATGTGGCTGAAGTCACCATGAAAGGATGCAGCCTAACACTGAAAGTAAGACTTGATCACAGCACAATAAATTAGAAATAAAAGGCTAACGAAGAGATAAGGGGATATGCGTCAAGACTGGGAGGAGGCAGGAGTGGGGCAGGGAGAAAGAATAAATATCATCTTCCACAAATCTCTTCCTCAGTCTATACAAGAGCCAAGAGAGAGGTCAGAGTTCAACATCTAAAGTTTTGCTTTTAAAAGAAATAAAATGTGTTACTCTACTCTAACTGTAGGATGAGGATGTTTTACAAGGTTATTATTAAGAGGCTTTTGCTGTTTTAGCGTTTACTACCTTATGTAAGAGATAAGTATTCTTGATGAGCAAGGACAGGTTTAACCTTTCCCTGGCATCTCCATTTTAAGCAAAATAGAGCTATATATTCTCAGAGGCACCTACTCCAGATTCAAAGATGCAACAGAATCATTCACACGTGCCAGTTTATTAGCAAAGCAGCTATTTAAAATAGATATATTGGACATAATGAACATGTGGCCACATGCCTGTTTTCAGATTTTTACCACAGAAGCTTGGCAAATTATAATGGACCAGCCCCATCTATCCTATATCCAGGGAGAAGAGGTGTATAACCTAGGGCCCCATCTACACATTACATGTAAGATGTGATTACCTGGTTAATCACGACTTAAGTTGTGACCCAGCCACAGGTTCAATAAATTAATAATATGATAAACAAGGAATAAGCCACAAAGTTATTCCATCAAAAAAGTGTAATAACTTTGTAACTCATTCTTATCACCCCATTAATCGAACATGTGGCCAGGTACTCCCTTGTCACTGGGAGCCCCACCAGCTGATGGAGTTCCCAGCTGCAGGGGTGTATCACGCACTGCAACAGCTGTAAGCCCCACAGATGACAGCTCACAGATGTAACTTACAGGATGCTGCCCCAGCTACAAGCCTTGTCAGCTATGGGAGCTTGCTACTGGCTGGTGCAGGGGGAGCCCAGGATTGTGATAATCAGGCTCCTGGCAACAAAGCTCCTCTGAACCTGGACTTGCTGGGCTGTATCACTAAGTCTGCCACACAGACTTGATCCACATGTTGCAGAAGATTCAGCAGAATTCTGGCGAGGATTTTACCAGCTATTGACAGCAAGGAGATGCCCAGATAGTTCTCACAGGATTGTCTTTTGCCTTTCTGCTTGTACAATTGGACAATGGGTGCATCCCTTGTACTCCTTGAGTCCACGTTGACTGGAAGAATTCAGTCAGTTTCAGAGCAATGTGCAAGCCTCCAGCCTTGTAGATCTCTGCTGGTACAGCAGCTGCTTCAAGTGCTTTACCATTTGACAGCAGGTTAATTGCTTCCAGTCTCAGTCAGAGTTGGGGAATCAGCAAGAGATATGACTTCAGATAATAGGCAAATCATATGAACCATTCCCAGTCACCAGTGGAGTCGGGGGGGGCAACCCTCTTCAGTAGGATGTTCTCTGCCATACTTACAGATGCCTTTTGTGACTGTGACACTGGGATTGACATCAGATACAGAACAATGGCAAGGTCCTCAATTTAAGGAGATTACAGACGAAAACTCAATTATAATAAGAAGTGACTGCTCGTGATCTTCCATTTGCTGATGGCTGTTCCCCAGATGCGAGTCTGACACGCAGCTGAGTATGGGCCATTTCTCCTCAGCTTGTGACAATTTTGGTCTCACAATCAACACTAAGACTGAAGTGATGCACCAGGAAAACTTTACATAGAGCCTGCCATCACAGTGAAGGACCAAACGCTCCAGGCTGTGGACAAGTTCACCTATCTCGGCAGTGCACTGTCACATGCAGTTCACATTGATGAAACCAATGCCAGAATTGCCAAAGCAAGTGTGACCTTCGGCAAACAATGTACAAATACGTGGGAGTGCAGAGGCATCAATCAGTCAACAAATAAATCTGAAGGTCTACATAGCTAATCCTGATGTATTTAATCAACACTTGACAGGTGTTGCCAATCTTCACGTATGTATGCAAAACTTGGACGGTGTACAGACACTATGCTGGGCGCGTTTACATGAGATGCTACATCACCATAGCACATGTAGCATCTCAAAATAATCATGCACCACCAGGACGACGCTGTGTCAGTAGATACTGTGCAGTCATTTAGTACTTGCTGTACTAGATGCGCAGTCAGGGGCATGTATAGATGTGCCCACTATGAAGCTGAACCACTTTCTCATGGTCTGTATGAGAAGACTAATGAAGATAAGATGGCAAGACAAGGTCCCAGACACCGAGGATCTCACGCAGGCAGGCATTCCAAGCATCCACACTGTTGATGAAAGTCACAGATGAGATGGGCAGGCCATGCCAGCAGGATGTCAGATGGCCAATTGCCCAAGAAGATCTTCTACAGTGAGCTAAAGGAGGAAAAGCACTCTCAGGGAGGCCAGAAGAAATGTTTCAAGGACTCCGTGAAATCACCCCAAAACATTTCCACATTCACCTAAAGTCTTGGGAAGATCTCACTCAAGATTGTTCCATTTGGTGAAGCCTCATTCATACTAGAGCTACAGTCTACGAGTGGAGGAGAGCTGCTGATGCAGAGTAGAAGTGCAAACACAGTAAATCTCACAGGAGCAGCACGTCTGCAGTTGATCAAAGACCCCAAAATGGCATCTCTTGCTCAGTGCGCTACAGACGGTTCAAAGCACAAGTTGACCTGATCAGCCACTCACATGCTCACAGAAACCAAACCAGCCAGTGATGTCATGGTCATCTTCAAATTCGAAGGACCAACAGCAACATATCTAGATCTTTCAGTTCTTCAAAGATTGCATGTTTACTATCAGCAAAATGTTTACCCTCCTTGGCCATGTCATGAGCTACAACAGAGCTGATCAATGCAGAAGCTTTGCTGCCTTGGACAATATTTTTAAAACTGACAGTTTTACAAGGCCTTTCACATCAGCTCTAGTTTCTTTTGGCCATCACCAACAAACCTTTGAGAACTAGGACTTGTATCATAAACCTGCTGCATATTGTATTCCTTTGTGACTAATCTTTTGCTTCCTAATAAAAGCACAACACTATCGTACTGTTCTGGAACAAATGTAGGCTTCACTGTATTTCTCCTAAAACTTTTTTTTGGTCAACTACATGGCCAACTACTAGCACTCTTCTCCATGACCAACAGATATAGAGTCTGACTACTTACCAACTCTGGGAATGCCTCTTAAGCTCAGATGCATGAACATGCTTGGGTAAGCCTGCCACACCCAACCCTCATCCCAAACTATTTGGAAGCCTGCTACCAAGGTTATTGCTGGCTACAAGCAAACAGGAGTTCCCAACATTTTGTCCCTGAAGAGCCATTTCAAAATGGTCAGTCCTTGATGTGACGAGCCTGACTAAAAACTCAGATACAGTATTATGACATGTGCAGGGAGCGTATAAGTGAAACAAGGTAGATGTTTTTATCATGAGTTTAACTTCTAAAGAGTACTGCTGGGCCACAGGCTTCATGAAAGGGGCTTGCAGGCTGCATTTGGCCCACAGACCATACTTTGAGAAGCATGGCTCTATAGGGACCAAAGATGTTAAACTGCAGTACTTATAAGCCATCAGTGAAATGGAGTTGGAAGAGGAACTGTACACAGGCACAGG